TTTACTTTCAATGCTTTTTGTACATTGATTTTTTTGTTATAATTGGTCTATACTCAAATAAGCTTTAAGAAATGTAGCAACACATTTAAATGCCATACTCACTAGTAAGCTGGTAAACTTGATATATGCCATTGAACAAAAAAGTATAATTTTGGTTAATAATAATAATGAGTCAAAAAAAAATAATAATAATAATTTTACTGCATCCAGATGACACACCAATGTTCCTTACACTAGGTTCCACACATATGCTGCCAAAAAGTGCCCAAACAGAAGATCCCACCCAATATAGACCAATTACCTGTCTACCGACTCTTTACAAAATACTAACAGGGTGAATAACTAATCGTATTTACCGACACGTCGATCAAAAAACGTCCTGGCAGAAGAGCAAAAAGGATGTAAGCGGGATGTAAAGAACAACTGTCTATAGATATTGTCATTCTAAAGCAGGCACAAAAGGAACAGCATAATTATATATTATACTGCTTTTGTAGATTACAAAAAGGTCTTCGACTGTGTCCCACACTCTTGGCTAATTGAAGTCTTAAATATTTACAAAATACACCCTACTCTAGTGACTTTTCTTTCAACAATAATGAAGCAATGGTAAATATTAATGGTAACTCGATAGGTACTAGTGAAATATCCATTCGCAGAGGAATCTATCAGGGCGACTCTCTAAGTCCACTGTGGTTCTGTCTCGCCATGAATCCCTAATCGACCATGCTTAAGGACACTGACTATGGCTTCAAAATCAAAGGCAATAGAAACACCATTTGTAATATCTCCCACCTCTTATACATGGATGATATTAAATTATACGCCCCAAGTCAACAAAAAATGAAACATTTACTAGCTATAACTGAAAGATTATCAAGCGATATTCAAATGGAATTTGGGTTAAACAAGTGCCTCAACATCGAGAAAGGGGTCGTTATGAGTAGAGATATGGTATTACCTAATGGTGATATCATAGAAACCATGGAGAAAGGCGAGACTTACAAGTACTTAGGATATCAGCAAGCCAGGGTACTAGATCATAAACAGGCAAAAGAAAGGAATATAAATCAATTTACTCAAATAGTAAAAGCATTACTTAAAAGCAAATTAAAGGCAAGTATTCTAATACAGGCAATTAACTCATATGCTATACTGGTCTTAACCTATTCGTTTGGAATACTACATTGGAGCAAAACTGCATTGGAAGAAATTCAGAGGTTGAAGCGAACGATGATGACTAAAAACCACTCTCACCATCCATGATCATCTGTATTTCGAACAACTTTACCCAGGAAGGAAGGTGGAAGAGCCTTAATCGACATTGTTAACCTACATACTAGCCAAATGGGAAAATTGAGATATTTCTTTTTCAGTAAAGCAGGAAGCTGTAGTATACATAATTCGGTTATAAAGGCTGATAAGAAATATACGGCATTAAACCTCTCAAACAATGATATCAGCTTGGAAGCAATGACAGACATGGAAAAACAAGAAAAGTGGTCACAGAAAGAGCTCCACGGCCGACACCACCATGATATTAACCAGCCGCATATTGACAAGGAAGCATCTAATAAGTAGCTTACTAATGGTACATTATTCCCCGAAACAAGGGTTTCTAATGGCTATTCAGGACCAGGTAATTAACATCAATAATTACAAAAAATATGTAATTAGGGACCCAAACACCAGTTCGGACAAATGCATAAAATATCAACAAGTACCAGACACCATACAGCATATACCATCTGGCTGTAGTACATTGGCTTATAATAACTACTTACGGCGGCACAACCAAGTATGCAACATTATTCATCAGAAGTTAGCTAACAAGTTCGGACTGCTTACCACATATACACCATACTACAAGTATCAACCACAGAAAGTACTAGAAAATGACAATTATAAACTCTACTATGATAGGACTATTAGTATTATTAAAAACGTATTTAGAAAATAGACATTTTATAGTCAAGTTCAATGGAAATACATCAGGTAAGTATGAAGCCAATTCGGGAGTACCACAGGGATCCAACTTGGGCCCATTGTTGTTTATTTTATTTATAAATGATCTCCCTTCTTATATGCAACACTCTAAATATTTATTTTTTGCTGACGATTTTAAAATATATCAAAGCATAAAAACCGTTAGAGACTGTGTAGCTTTACAAAAAGATATCAATGCCATTTATACGTGGAGTGAAAATAATAAGTTAAAATTTAACATTAAGAAATGCTTTATACTTACAATTGACCGTAAGAGAGACAATGTTATTATATTTGACTATAAGATGGACCAACAAATTTTAACTAGACGATCCGAAATTAAAAACCTCGGTGTAAGCTACGACAATCAATTTTCGTTTGGTTCGCATATAAATAAAATTGCTCTTAGTGCTAACCGTATATTAGGGTTCATTATTAGACAAACTCAAGCTTTTTCTAATCTAAATACTATAAAATATCTTTACTACTCACTAGTTAGGACAAAATTAGAATATGCCTCGATTATTTGGGGTCAACAACCCCAAATTTACTTAGATAAATTGGAAAAAATTCAAAACAAATTTCTTAGGTATCTTTACTACAAAAAACATCGTCATTGGCCAGACTACAATTACGTACGAACATCTATGTTACGACAAGAATTTGGAATATCCTCACTGATTAATAGACGGAAACAGTTTATGATGACATTTTTATAAAAAATTTTAAATAATCAAGTAAACTCAAATGAATTACTGCTACTCATACCATTTAATGTTCCTCCTAGGCGCACTAGGTCTCCCTTTATATTCAATATATCCAATAGTACCCTAAAATCTCCTCTTTCATTTGTACTTCGACTCGCAAATAATTTTAATTCTTTGTGTAACTTTGATTGGCATGTGAGTTACAAACAGTATCAAAGAAATCTTAATGAGTACCTTAATGTTTTAAGTATTTAAATATGCATGCTGTTTCCGCTGATTGTTGTGAAGCTTTGTAGTCTTGATATTCAAACCCATTCATACAAGTAAAAATGTAAAGTGTCATAATGTCATATGTATGATTATATTATATATTATTATGTATATTATGTATTGTACTACTCATGTAAAAAGGCCGTAAGGCCTGTTTGAGTTTTATTAATAAATAAATAAATAAATAAATAAATAAATAAATAAATAACCGACAGGCAGGTGACGAACAATAGGCCTGATATCGTGGTGGTAGATAAAAAAGTCAAAAGTATACTTCTGGTAGATGTCGCGGTCCCGAATAACAACAACGTTCTGACAAAACATCAAAAGAAAATAGCCAAATATGCTGAACTCGCTTTTAAAATAAAACAGATGTGAAAAGCAAAGAAAGTAAAGGTAGTACCGCTTATAGTATCATCCACGGGTCTCATCCCGAAAAATCTGCAGGAAGGTCTAAATAAACTGGGAATTCATAAAAACACTTTTATCGACATGCAGAAAGCGGTAATTTTGAATACGTGCCACACCGTACGTAAATTTCTAAACGAGTGAGTATTAGGCTCTCCCCCATTGGTAGCAGTACCCGGAATTAGTCAAAATTCCAGTAACCACTGAGTAAATATACAGTGATTACCATAAGTCTTACCCCCCCTATCTAACTCATTACTGGAGTCTTGTTAGGAAAATCGCCGAAACACGTCGATTTTTGTTTTCTACAATGTACATTTTTGTATGAATAGTTTACCCTTAATTTCATTCCTTACTGGAGGGAAGCAACCCTTTCGAAAAATTTAAATGGCATGGGGTGGTGAGTGATAGCTCATTTGAAAGAGAGTTTTATTCTCTATTCAACCGGGTAAAAAATTTTGAAATTTGCTTCATTAATTCTCGACTAATTGTTGTTTCAGAATAACGGAAATTAACGTAGCACACTCATCCTTAGAATTAAAATTCGGCCGTGCATGATTTCGGTTTTGGTTCAGACGTGAAGTAAGACTTTTTGCCATTAGAAGGTCACTGTTAATTTAGTTGCTTTCCTATTTTGTGAGGTTTTGTTATTTTTAAACATTAATAAATCAACACGTAATGAAGCAAATTTTAAATTTTTTTGCACGGTTGAATAGAGAATAAAAACCCCTTTCATATGAGCTATCACTCACCACCCCATGCCATTTAAATTTTTCTAAAGGGTTGCTCCCCTCCAGTAAGGAATGAAATTAAGGGTAAACTAATCATACAAAAATGTACATTGTAGAAATCAAAAATCGACCTGTCTCGGCAATTTTCCTAACAAGACTCCAGTAATGAGTAAGATAGGGGGGTAAGACTTATGGTGCTCACTGAATTTCATTGTGCAAAATGTAGGAATTATGAACTGACTGATTTTCTAAAGAAGACTAATAAATAGTAAAAATGAAATAATAAAAATGCTTCAAGAGAAAATTAAAGAATTTAAAGAAAAAGGATTTAAAAAAAAGTTTTTTTTTTTATTTCCTTAATTATTCATTAAATATAATTAAAATAAAATAATTTTTGTCAGCACATACAGGTGTTCTCACCTAGGTGCTTGTTATTATATAATTGGTTTCCATTATTGTACTTTATTGTAACTTATTATTATTGTAACTCATTATAACTTATAACTATTATTAATACACTTATTTTAGTAACTAGAAAAAATCTAGATTCTTTTGTTTAGTGTTTAGAGATATTTTCACAACTATCTGATAACACTGTTTATCTATTACTTTTCTGGAATTTAAATTTTTTAACCAGCTAATCGAAACATTTCCTACAACAACCTGTCGATCTATTTTTAATTCAGAAGCACCGTTAAAAAAAGGTGTGTTTGTTAATAAGCTATTAGTCTTAATCAAGTTGCATTGGCAATTTTCAAAATTAACCAGACCGCAAAACCGTATCCACTTTTTAATTTACCTTGATAAATTTTGATCAAAATAATGGTCTATTTCGCCAACATGTCGTCTGTTGCCAAGTTAAACATTTTATTACATTATCCAAAGTCTCAGTTGGCCCAGTAAGATCGCGCAAAACGGTCGAAAATTGTTAAAAAATTTTTGTCAAAAATTTAAATAAAACGAAAATAGTCGCGAGGTCGAAGGTGTAAACCATAAAATCCGTAATTTAGTGTCGGGAAATTTCGCAAATTAGCTAGAAAAACAATATATCTGTCGCCCTCGGTTTTCAGTTACACAAATACATGGTTGGCCCTGAAAATGACAGATGCTGACAGATACGGTCGCGAGTATAGTAGGCTTAGGAGACTCACTAGTAATCTAGATGTCCAGCAGTCTTGCGTAAGTCTGTATTGTCAAGTTCAAATCCAATTGCTTTAATAAGCTATTTTTAAATCTACCATTTGTGTAGGTACGCCACACTTTTACTTGTTGATTATTATGATACTTGTACGACGTCATCTTCTGACGTGGCCGTAATGTCATCAACAACATGTGGTTTTTTAAATAGGTATAATATAACTTTTATATCGTAGATTGGTTCTCTTTATGGATACCGGTTCCAGGATCTGTTTTGAGTACCAGCGCCGACATCCTCACCAAAAAACGGGGTCGATGTCTGTGACAGATGCTGGTTCTCTGCGCTACCTTCTAATAAATAAAAAAGTAATTAAGAAAAACAAAACTATTTAGAATTATACAGGGTGTTTCATTGGTAAATGGGTATATGTTAACTGCATATGGGGTCACCTAGGTGGTTCCGAAAACCCATACTTCATGGGTCTGTCGCCCTTTACAACAGAGATATAACATATGTTTTATCAATTTTGCCAATTTCTTTCTAGGCTCATAACTTTTGAAACACGGTGTATATTTTTTGATATTTGGTATACAAGTACACCTTAATTTGTCAAATCCAGTGACGTATTAATAATAGGGAAAATACAGGTCCGGATTTACAAAAAATTTAGAAATTTTTCGATACCTAAAACAACACCCTGTATATCATAATTTTGAATATCTATTTACAGATTCGAAAAGAGCAAAAAAAATTGAGTTACACCAAGTGGTTTTGGTATTTCCGCATTACTTATTAATTTGAGTCAAATCTAAGTGTTTCGATAAAAAGATGAAATAAAATTAAAAAAAATATTTTTTTTTTCTAATTATTGACTTGTCGAGATTTAACTAAGAAAATCGTCAACCTTATTGTATGCTCTTGATTATTTAATCCAATTTTTGAAATTACAGGTCCGTATTGAAGAAAAAATTCTAAATTTAACGACTAAATTAAGAACGCTCTGTATGTGAAATTATGGAAATATTTATTAAAAAAGTAATATTTGTTAAAACAATTAAAATTTTAAGTAAATAATCAAAAGACACTCACATTTCGAACAAAGTACACCTTTGCTTCAAAACACTAATCTGCGAAATAATTCTAAATTTTAATTGTTAAAAATAATGGACAATTAATATTACTTATTTCTAATTAATATTTTATTTAAAACTCGTTCATTTCTTAATTCTTCGAATGCACTAATAAAATTGTATGCGGAAATACCAAAACCACTTGGTGTAACTCAATTTTTTCAACTTTTTTCGAATCTGTAAACAGATATTCAAAATTATGATATACAGGATGTTGTTTTAGGTATCGAAGAATTTGTAAATTTTTTGTTAATCCGGACCTGGATTTTCCCTATTATTAATACGTCACTGGATTTGATGGATTAAGGTGTACTTGTATACCAAATATCAAAAAAATATACAGCGTGTTTCAAAAGTTATGAGCCTAGAAAGAAATCGGCAAAATTAATAAAACACCCTGTATCTCGGTTATAAAGGGCGAGAGACCCATAAAATATGGGTTTTTTGGAACCACCTAGGTGACCCCCATATGCAGTTAACATTTGTCCATTTACCAATGAAACATCCTGTATATTTCAATCTTGGGATAGCCATGTGTAAGTGGGTATATTAAATGAAGAGGTAGGAAATAAAAATCCTTTCATTGTGAGATACAAAGGACTTTTCTTTCCTACCTTTTCATTTAAATTATATATTTGCTTTTTTTCTGGACTCTTTAGGCCAATTACGATATTTGCAAATCCTTTTGGACGTCGCCCGTTTCCGAATTTTCTATGGAATTTTTATGTTTTGAAGGTTTGCTTATATCCAATGTGATTTCTTGAATTTGATATTGTTTTTCATGGTTCAGTTGCAAAATTGGTAGTTTTAAGTAAGTTATTACATGTTATGTTAACATCTATAGGCCTTCCTTTATAAAAGAATTAAATTCTTCTGATGCAAGAGAATAGATATTTAATTATTTAAATCATTAAGGATTATAAGAAAGAGTTTGCGGAGTTAGACAAATCAAAATAAAAAATATATTTATTTAATGTACAGGGTCGGGCAAAATCTGCACTTACTATCCTTTACTACTCTCAGTATACTAAGGTGTCCTTTTAATCGGCAATGCCCGTTAAGATTCCCTGTTACAATACGTAGCCTGTTCTTGCTTAGGCAGATGCAGGCTTCCGATCTTTTCTGGGTATATTCACCCAGAAGTATCTTAGCCTGTCTCAACCCCAAGAGATTGTTCCAATTATCGGTTCTTCTACTACCCAATTCTTTTTTAATCTCTCCTAATATTAGGTTACTGCTGATACCGCAGAACGGCTCAAGTTCTACAAAGGGTGTTTGAGCCCCTTTCCTTGCAAGACTATCTGCAATCTCGTTACCCTGTACCGCGTTATGTCTTGGGACCCAAGTGAGAGTAACTCTATTTTTCTCGCCTAGCTCATTCAATTGTTCTAGGCATCTCCAGACCATTTTTGAGCTGATTACGTAAGAGCTGAGAGCTTTGATGATAGTCTCTTGTCTATGATAGTTACTCTCGATATTAAACTGGATACACTTCTCAATGGCGTGAATTTTCGTCTGAAAGATACATGGGTATTTTCCCAAGCTTTCGGAGTGCTTGGCTCTCGACCCATACACTCCTATTATAATTCCTTCTATGGTTTTGAAACCGTCCGTATACCACTGAATAGCATGTCTTTCGGTTGCAAGCGCGATGGATTCTTGGCTCCATTCTTTCTTGCTCTGTGGTTTTTGAAGTTTTTCACAAACTGTACTTCTTTAGCATTTCATCCTGGGGCATGTCCCAGGTATCTTTTGTCTTGAAGCATTCTATATCGTGTCCTTTTTGCCACATTCCCTATCATGAACTGTAGAGAGGGATGAGGTTTAAGATCACCTTAATTGTAGCCGGAGGGCAGGTTCTCATTGCACCAGTAATGCAAACACAGGCTAGTCTTTTTATTTTTGAGATATAATTATTATTAGTAGCTAAACTAGTTCTGTTACTCCAGGCTATAGCCCCGTAAGTGATGATTGGTCCCTATATTGCAGTATACATCCATCGCAGTATGTTTGGGTTACATCCCCATGGTGTAACCGCAATGTTTCTGAATACCATTAGGGCTTTTATAACCTTATTTACTACTTCCTTCTCATGTGTGTTTTAAAGAAGTTTGTTGTCTAGGGTTAGGCCTAGATATTTGACTTCATTTTTCCATTCTATATCTATCCCGTCTAATTTAACGGTTTTGAATTAAGTTTTCTTTTCCTTGAAAAGGCTACTAGTGTTGTTTTTGTAAGGTTCTCACTTCACGGCACCATCTTTTGGTATGTTCTAGTCCTCGTTGGACTATATCACACAGGATATTTCTAAACTTGCCTCTAGCAAATACTATTATGTCGTTTACATAACCTTGACAAGGTATGCAGAGGTCAGTCAATCTGCATAGAAGTTCGTCTACGGTTAGGCTCCATATTAGTGGGGATAGAACTTATCCTTGTGGACATCCTCTGGTTGTGCAGATGGAGATGGTGTCCTGCCCTATCTCTGTCTCTGCAGTTCTCGTAGATAACAGCTGAGCCATCCATCTGGATGTGATGTTATCTACTCCTCTATATGCAAGTGCTATTTTAACAGATTCGTTGTTAAAAGCTCCTGCTATGTCTAGGAAGGCACACACAACCGTTTCTTTGTTTGTCAGTGCATCCTGGATTACGTCAGTCAAATGTACCAGGGTAGTTTCTGTAGATCTTCCTGCTTGGTACGCGTGTTGGATGTGGTGGAGTGGCACCCGCTCCTGGACTTCCGTTCTAATATAATTATCAACAGCCTTCTCCATTGTTTTTAATATAAAGGATGTGAGGCTGATCGGTCGAAAGGATTTCGGATGTGTGGTATCCTCTTTCCCTATTTTTGGAATAAAGGTGACTCTGGTCCTTCTCCATGCTTCTGGTATATATTCCAGCTCCAGACTGCTCCGGGATAGCCGGATTATGTGTGATCTTAATTCCTCCTGTACCCGCTGAAGCAGGCAGGAAATATTCCATCCACACCTGGAGACTTAAATGGTTCAAAAGTGTTTACGACCCACTTTAACCGATTTCTGCTGCATATGTGTTTGGTCACTACAGCGGCCTCTTTTGGGGGCTTGCTTACCTTAGTTGTGTCCCTTATTATAAAAGGTGTGCTTCCAGGAAAGTGAGTTTCGAGTAAGAGGTGAGCTCTTTCCTCCTCACTCCTCACATGAACTCTGAACGGTGATCGTTATTTGCAACTTCTTCTAAAGCAGATGACAGTTCCAGAGTTCGTTTATTTCAAAATCATAGAAAGGTTCTGATGAAATTTGGTTCAAGCAAGATGACGCTCCTCCTTATTTCGATGCTAGAATGAGGCAGTGTCTGAACACAATATTTTCGCAGAGATAAGGGGGTCAAAGAGGACATATTGAGTGGCCGGTGCGGTCACCGGATTTATTCCCACTGGATTTTTTTGGGGTATTTGAAATCAGTAGTTTATAAGGATCTGTCACATTCACTGGAAGAATTGAAAGACAAAATAAGAATTGCTGTTCAAGAAATAACACCTTAAGTTTATTAAAATGCCTTAAGATCATTTATCAATAGACTAGAATATTGTCAGGCAGTTGGGGGCTTTTACTTCGAACACTTATTTTGAAAGATTGATGTAAAGTAATTATTTACTTTGTTCGTTGAGTTGGTCGACAAGAGTAGTTTGTTATTATTTTCTTCCGCATACTGTTGCATTAAATTCAATAACATTTATTTACTTGAATGACCAAGTATTTACATATTAGTCTGATTCTCAGTTAGATTAACTGACGTTGTTTAAATACATTTATTTCCTTGAATGATTTATCTGGGATGGTAGGCCATTTCGTGTCAAGTATTTACTTGCTATTCCAATTTTCCTTTAATTTAATTTTAGTAAACTTAATTGACGTTGCTTAAATAGCATTTATATCCTTGAATAACTTGGCTGGGACGATAGGCTTTCATAGGGTTTCATATCAAGTAATTAAATGTTATCAGAGTTAATATTGCATTGATTGTTCCGTGAATATAGGATAACTTCACGGAATTTTCTTTATTTAACTTATTTCCAGTGTTTCGCATTCCGTTAGTATTAAAGTGATACTAATATTCCAAATTCCGTTTTACTAGTAAAACAGTAACGTCTGCCCGTCTATTTCTTGTCTTGTAATAGTCCCCGATATCGTCTGATTGATGCTCAGCCGCAATCAACCACCGCACGACTTTTGTTATTTTTGTTGTGGGTTTCATTGTTCTGAAAAGGGTGGGTGTATATCTGTATAGCAATATATTGATTGAATTAAAACAACTGGCATATTATTGCAGTAGTTATTATACCGTGTCTTTTTCCCCGTTTTATTTCAGCCTCTAAAAAATTCTTTATTTGGCACAAATAACGACTAAAGCTCGTTCTTTATACATTCAGTTAAGGTAGGTAGTCGGAAATCAATATAGGCTTTGGAGTTTTTCATCTCCATCTGCAGTTGCTCGGGCATCTTTGACGCAGGCTCAAGAGTTAGTGGAGTAAACAATAAACCACTTCAAATAATCTGACATAAAAGTTCAACGTGAATGACCAAGGTCTAAACTGACAACCATTTCTTATGCTGCGAACTCCAACCCTAGATGGGGCTACTGGTAAAATTATGATTTCTTACTTCATTTTTAATTTTTATGGGTGACAGACTTAACCAAAGAATCCAAAGATGTGACGTGTACTTATGTTTTTGGTTAATTATATTTTTTCGCCTGATTTTAGTGATTTTTTTTGTAGGGTTTGGCTTTTGGTTTCTGTCTATAGTTTCTTCTTAATTATTTACAAAATTGTGATGTTTTATTTTTCTATTTCGTACTGTTTTGCAATAATTTTGGTGCTACGTTGAAAACTTCGAGAAAAACTTCATTGATATCATGCATCATAAAAAGGAATGCAGAAAAACCCTTACAATTTATACGAATACAAATTAATAAATTTAAATCACATTTCACATCTCTCAACTCACATCTCAACAGAGCAACCTTCAACTTGAATTGTGTGATTTGCAGTCAGATTCATCTTACTAGGGAAGAACTGAAATAGAAATGAACTTTTTTAAGTTATTCCCAGAAGAATGCTAGGCCTTATAACGGGCACAATGCTGGGAAGAATGTATTTTTGCAAAAGCAGCTTTTTCAACATGAATCAAAGTTAAAATATAAGTGTTTCCTGTGTGATAAGTCACTTACTCAGTTGCTTCATTTGTAAACAACAAAAATATTAAAGATAATATTGCCTAGTTATTGGTTATTTAAAACCATGCTGGAAATCTTATTGGTTTCAAACAGAATTTCCCATATTTATTTAAGTAAAATTCGTTTTCTTTATATATCCCGTTATTTCAGTCCATTTATTTTGTAAACAAACATAAAATTGCGTTGAACTAAATATTACGGAGTGAGGCACAAACAATTGGCTATAAATAAAAGAGTTATTTCTGGAAAGTGACTTGAGACGCATCTCCAAGAGTGTGATGTCATTTTGTACAAGAGTAAATAAGACGGCTATGTAGTTGGGTACTTGGAGAGATTGCATGTGTGAGTGGTTATGATGAATTTGCTTCCAATTATTTTCTATTATGTTTTGTTTTGTTTGGCTTACTTCATGGTGACTCACTGCTAATTATTATTATTATTATTATTGAGAGAAACCTCAGGCGTGGTACATATTTTCAGTGTTTATACCGCAAACTTGAATTATTGCCATGTTCCACTACATACAATGTCGACGTTAAAGTCCGCATTATATGCTATGTTTATTAATTTATTAGAGATTTGCTTCGAAAATAATAAAAAATTACATTGACAATTGAAGAACTTTGGTACAAAATCGAATAAATCCACCATAAACAATGTGTGGGAAAACATGGAGAAAAAACGATTTTCCAATAGCACAAAAAGTACTGTTTTTGTTTGTTTTGTTAAAAAATATTATTTGTGAGACGGACGTCATTAACAATACATCCAATTATAATTTAAAAAAATATTTTTGTTAAAAATATGACAAACAAAAATGGATTTATTCAGTTTTGCTTATAATTTTATTAGATTTATTTGATTTTGGCAATAAATACATTATTTTAACCAAAAATATTTCTTACAACCTGTTGTTAAACCGCAGTGTCGCCAGTAGATATTATTTATTAATAATACAGGGTGTGACAGAAATACATAAATAAGATTTAAGTTTCTTTACACAAGTTTTTAGACTTTCCTCTAAATTATAAATCAATATCATTTTTAAAAATCTGTTTTATTGCAAAGATTAACTGTTAACACACCATCAAAATCTGACTCATCTTTCAGCAGCATCTAAAATAGTCAAAAACACTTGAAGGGTACTTTATATAATTTTTGAATCTTGCGCATCTCAAGTATCACAAAATACTATGAGCACTACCTTCATAGAGATCTAGATGCTTTAGAAATCCTTTATGGAAAGAGATAGTAATCGAAATAAAAAATGCTCTAGATCTTCCATTTTTGCAAGATCTCTACACTGTTATAACTGGTCTATAAATTTAATTGATAATTTTGCTTTCAGTCGGAGTACGGCCTCTCCGAAGACCAAGTGGCCGAGTTCAAAGAAGCCTTTATGCTCTTCGACAAAGACGAGGACGGCACCATCACCATGGCAGAGCTGGGAGTGGTGATGCGGTCGTTAGGTCAGAGACCCACGGAGACTGAGCTTCGAGACATGGTGAACGAAGTGGATCAAGATGGAAACGGGACCATCGAGTTCAACGAGTTTCTGCAGATGATGTCCAAGAAGATGAAGGACGCCGATGGGGAAGAGGAACTAAAAGAAGCTTTTAGGTATTGGTTTTTCCTTTAAGATGAAAAACAGTATGTCAGTTATAACGTAAAAGAATCTATTGTAAGTAGATTTCAAACAAAAGTCTTTATGAAAGTTAGGTATATAAAAACAGTATTACCACTGAATGAGCTGAACCATTATGTTTTATAATCAACAAGTCGCTATCATAAAGCCTTTTTGCAAAAAAAAGTGATAAAAGTCCCTTCATACTATAGACCAAATCTCATTGAATAGTAATTGTGCAAAACTATTTGAAGAAGTTATAAAAGATAAGCTTGAATTATTTTGTCATCCAACCAGTTCGCTTTTCAGACGGGAAAATCATCAGACCATGCAATCATCTACATTAATTTTTAGATCTTTCAAAGGCATTCGATACTGTAGACATAGGTAGTTATTGGGCATATTAGAGGATTCAAGAATTTGTGGAACAGCTCTAAAAGGTTTCAAGTCGTATCTTCAAAATCGTACAAAACATTTGAACATAGAAGAATGTACAAACTCAGGGCAAGTTGCGAAATGTTGACTTCCACAAGGAACAGTGCTGGAATCGATTCTTTAAGAACGGTGTTGTGCTGTATGTTGAGCAATATATCGGACTACAGATATTGGACTACAATGAATATCTCAAAATAAAATTGCTTAATATAGTTCCAATTTTCTTGTGAAGAGTTCATTAAATTTTTTAACTTGTATATGTCTGTTCAATTAAGGGTTGTTCCTTTTCAAATGATTTTAGAATCCTTGAAATACAATTATACGGATCAATTAGGTACTCCAAACAAAATGGTAATCTGTGGGAAGGGTTATTATATCTAAGGGCTTGCGACATACGATGTATTCTATCTACAACACATGAAATCATGAGTAATGGATTAAATTTAAATAATATATTTCAAACACAATGAATATATTATTAAAATTAAAAATTAAAAAACAGCTTATACATTTTTCAGGCTTATCGACTATTATTTCGAATTAAAATAGCGTCCAAGATGGAAGGCTATGTCGTAACCCCCTTAGCTATTGTTTGACAGGTCGTTGGAATGCCTAATTTGGCAACAAAGTTAACACTCCAATTTAATGTAGATATTGTTATGCAGCACCCTGCAGTAGCCTGCGGCTATCATAGGAAACGTACAGATAGAAAAAGAAGTGGAATGTTACTCATCGCTCTACAGTGTGCTGCGGTTCTTATAAGTAAAAGTACAAGTAAAAGAGAGATAGAATAGTTCCAGAAATATCCAGAAAAGTCATTACCCGTCAAGAATATTCTAGATGACAGTTCGAGAAGGTCAAGCAAGCTATATAAGTCGACGACCTGACGTCAGAGTTTCAGTTTTATGATAGACGTTACATGTTAATGTTATCAGTTGTATCGTTATTGTTAAAGTTGAATTGAGTTATTGTAAAGTTGAATTGAAATAAATTGTGATACCAAAAACCAACGTAACAATATTTTTTTAACATGAATACGAGTATTTGAATACGATTTAGTAATCTTTGGTATACGTTTCTGTTTAATTACATCCTGTTTGCATTATACTGACAAATCATCCTTGATAATAACGTCTCCTCATCCTTATTACGGAGAACAGGGGCTCTCAATATACCTTTTGCATTTCCGTTCTATTGCATAGACAAACAGAACTCGTGTTTAAGTAGCGAACTTTGCCTCATGCAAGATTAAGTTTTGTGTTATATCTATCTCTATATTATAATATTATCTTGAATACTGAGAGGATTCTGAAAACTGAAATGCACAGTGGTAAGCACCTCGTCTCGTGTTCCTTCCTGCTTTGTTTTAATCTAATTGGTGGTTTTTGCAGAAATTGAATCTTGTTTTGTTTTTAATAATTTAACTTTCACACTAATTAAACAGTATTTTCTGTTAACCGCACTCACTGTGATAATGAATTTAATTGTAATTATTAAGGCTAGGGTTACGTGAAAATTGGCGCGGACATAATACATGTAAAAACATCGATCCAATTCGTTTAAAATATAAATTATTTTGTGGGTTTTCGTTTGTAAGATAGATCTAGTTAGACCACAGACCTTTTATATATTGTTTATAGACAGTACACTCAATGTATAATTTTCGTAGCTGATTTCAGCGCCTGCACAGTGGTGGGGATATAAACTAAACAATGGCGGCAATTTTTGAATGTTTGAATAATTTTTTGGAAGCATGCTTTGAACGTGGATAATATGTGTGCCATTAAAGTTGAGATTTGATTACAATAAGCAAACAAATCGTAACTATAATGGTTTAATCATGTTTTGGTGCTACATTTTTTTATGAAATGAAACCATTTATTATATTTATAGGTAACGATTCATTTATAAAATGTAAATTTCGGGTATTATTTTAACTAAAACTAAAAATAAGGCAATAATAATACGTAAATGTAAAATATTAAGATAAAATAAAAAAGATTCAAGGGTTTTTATTTTTTAGTTTTATGTGGTTTTTCTTATTTCTTATATTATAGGTATCTTGTGTTATCAAAAAGACGTATTTTACCATTAAAATAATGTAACAACCTGGAACCCGGAACACTTACACTTTACAATCATGACTGAAAGTTTAGCCATTATCTCGAATGTAATGTGGTCACATTAATCCTTCCTCCATCCTAGACAACACACCAAATCCCAGAGATATCCACAGAATATCTTTTGTGGATATCCAATATATCCACAGGATATCAGAAATATTCCGTGGATCTAATATGAATATCCAAATGTCCGTCTATATCCAGAATATAGAAGATATCATATGGATATCCAGCAAAATATCTAATGAGTATCTTCCAGACAATACAAGAAATCCCAGAGATATCCACAGAATATATTCTGTGGATATCCAACCAAATGTCCGTCTATATCCCAGGATATAGAAGAATTCGGATATTCAGCAAAATATTTTATAGGTATCTTTAGTAGAGGTTCATAAGTAACCAATGATTATTGAATAAAGTCGAAAGAAAATAGCAGATATAAAAAATATTTTCAATGCTCAAAATATTTTCAACACTCTGCCTTTGATTTTACCCACTAAGGAGAAAGTTATCCTTATTAGGACTCTTCAGCATCAGCAATAAATGGAAATTCTCGACTCCAGTCTCTAATGGAGTGTGATTGTGAAACAAATTTCGATCGAACTCAATTATGGCGGGTTGAGCATGAGTAGATGCGAAAGTAGTATCGCCATCTATACTTAGTAAGCAGAATCAAAAATTACTGATTTGCGTTCGCGCCTAGACTTTGATATATTTAGTGGATGTTCATGGGATATTGAATACACTTTAAAAAAATTAATTTTAACTATCTGAACGGTACTGTTAGCCACAATGGCGTAATTTTTCAATAATTTGCTATATAATTACTATTATTTGTGGACATTTGCATGTCTATAAATTGCAGCTCATGGATATAAAATAGATATCCACCATGGACTGGACATTCAGTGGATATTGGGATGTTCAGTAGATATCCAAAGGATTTGGTGTGCTGTGGTATTAATTTTGTGCTTTATTTCCATTTTATTATTGACTTTCTGCTTTATTTCCATTTTATTATTTAACAATCAGTTCAAAAACAAACAAATCACTCACAAAATTCATAAAAATAATAAAGAAATAAATAGTTGTGGTTATGTAGGTATCAAGTAGGCAGTGTTGTCACGGTCAAATGGTGATAATTCTCATCAATTACCCCGAACGCCTGAAGTCACCAATAAATGCAATAGTGACGATGAAAATATTTTAAAACATGACTTTTCAGCAATAGTGCATTCTACTAAATGCATACGGCGAAAACGCTATAATCTTGCATGAATAAATTATAAATCAATTCATAAAAGTTCATTGGTTGGTTAAGAATACCCAAAAATCGGGTAAAATTCTTGCTATTGGCAACGCTGCACAAGCGTGTCCTATAAACGGTAACGGTGGCGACCTCCCGACGGCGGGGGTATGAAACTTAACACGCATTGACCTTGACATAGGTTAGGTTGTCACTGACACCTGTCATGTCATGTACGATATCGGTGCATGAACACACCCCTTTTTGTTGGGTTATAAAACCGTCTTAAACTTAAAATAAAGTAGTTTTATTTATTATATCCAGGCCTACCGATCTAGGATATTATATCGTCAAAATATTTTCTTTCTATCTATAATACTGCTCTGCTTCCGATAGCTCAAAATTCTGATCAACTAAGTATCAACAGCAGATGGAAGGCTTCACTCAATCCACAAAAAAAACAATTCAGCATTTTTAAACATTTACCATTTGGGAATGCGATTCTCTCACACTCTTAACCAGTGACGGCGTGTAACCAAAATCTTAGGGGTTCACAATAACACAATTTAGATTTCAGTGCAGATTTGGGTGAAAAAATGTCCGTGCTTATATTATTCCTGAACATACCTTCCTAAAATACTGAAAGATTTTTAACCTAAATCTGTACTGAGATCTATATTATGTCCTTGTGGACCTCCAATATTTTGATAACGAACCGCCATTGCTTTCAACTGGTTTTTTGGATTAATTTGGCAATATCTAAATTTAATTTACTTATAGTAACTATAAATATTTACTTAGTTATGTTTGTTTATATTTTTTAGAGTATTTGATAAGAACAATGACGGATTGATATCATCATCAGAACTACGTCACGTGATGACCAGTTTAGGAGAAAGACTTTCAGAGGAAGAAGTAGACGATATGATCAAGGAGGCTGATCTTGATGGAGACGGTCAAGTAAACTATGAAGGTGAATTTTCAACAAAATATATCCTTATTTTAAAATCAAAATACATTATACATTATACACTATACATTATACATTACACATTTTTCACATTTTTCACATTTTTCACATTTTTCACATTTTTCACATTTTTCACATTTTTCACATTTTTCACATTTTTCACATTTTCACATTACACATGGTTATTCCTCATACGGAATTTCTATGCTCTACTTTTTATCTTGCTCCTTTTTATTATTTTTAAATGGCAACAGTACGACCGTTGTATGAAGATATATATATGTATACAACTGTTTTACAAATTTTCTATGATAAATAAACGTGGGGAGTTAATTTGGAAAACCTTGTATATATGTATTGGGCATTTCAACGACCTGTCCAAATGGCTGCAGGAGAGCTCTGACAGGCTCAATGCTATATATAGTTATATATGCGTATTCCTAGATCTCGCCAAGGCCTTTGACACTGTATCTCACAATCAGCTGTTGGAGACCTTGGAGGATATAGGAATTCGCGGAGTCCCTTTAAATCTGTTCAAAAGTTACTTAAACGACAGAGAACAAGCTGTTCGAATAGGAACTTGTACCAGTAAAAATAATAAAATTAAATTTGGAGTGCCTCAGGGTACAGTCTTAGGACCAACGCTATTCTCTATTTATATTAATAACCTGTTTTCCTTGACAACTAAAGGAAATATCATTGGCTTTGCTGATGATACGGCGATATTCTACCAAGGTAATACATGGCAAGAGCTAAAGGGAAGAATAGAGGAAGATTTTAATAATATTTCTGACTGGTTCGACTGTAAACAGCTAACGATTAATTATGAAAAAACTTTTTTTATTCCATTCTGTAGCTATAAAAATACGTTACCCCAATTTTCCGAGCTGCAAATCAATAAGACAGGAACCAAAATAATAAAATTAAAAAATAACATTAAATACCTAGGCGTAACTATAGATTCCCACCTTAAATGGGACATACATATAAATAACATCACAAATAATTTAAGACCCTTATTATATAAGTTAAAATACATGAAAACTATTCTAAAACCGGCATATCTTAAAATAATGTATCATTCACTTGTTGAATCCAGAATCAACTATGCTATCTTATCATGGGGTTCTGCTTCAAAAACTCATCTGAAAAAATTAAAAGTAATACAAAAGAAATTCTTAAAAATAATTTATAATAAAAATAATACTTACCCATCTAATTCTCTATTTAAAGAAACATCACTATTGGATGTTAGACAAGCATAATTTTTCAATGTCGTTATATATATTTATAAAAATAAATCCATAATTCAAACAATTAAACATAATTATAATACCCGATATAGACTTGAAGAGAATACCCAAATTGCTCTAAGAAACAAGACCATAGGACAGAGATCATTAAATTTTTTAAGTACCGTAATCTACAATTTTTTGCCGAACGTGTATAAAATATATTTAATATCAATCAATTCAATAGATCTTCTAAAATCATTTATTAAATCATTTATTTTAAATGTTGAAAGGTCCATTATTCATTCTCTAATTGAAAGAGACATAAATTAATTAGAACTAAAAAGTACAATAATATCTAAAAAAAAAAAAAAAAAAAAAAAAAAAAAAAAAAAAAAAAAAAAAAAAAAAAAAAAAAAAAAAAAAAATTGAATTTAAATAATGGAATTAAACAAGAAAACTCGCGCGCAACCTGTGTAGGTCATAAGCGAGTCGTACGGTGGTCCATGTTTATTCGATAAAAATTTGTTAATTAAATTATATATATTTATTTATTTGTATCTGATTGTATTATCATTATCTTGTTCTTGTAAAACACTATTTCTTTTTGAATAAACATTATTATTATTATTATTATTATTATTATTATTATAGATTGCTCAAAGCCAGCTACCGCAGCCTCAAAAGTGCTCATTAATCAAAATCGGTTTTGTAAAAATGTGTTTTAAAACCAAATTTCGGCCTTTAAATATAGTAAAAAAAATAATTACCTACATTTTTACTTCAAGGCATAAACTTTATTTTGAGTAACATGATCAATCTATATAACTATACATCATTGACCCTATCAAAGCGCCTAATGCAGCCATTTTGTTTGAAATGCCTAATATATTTAGAAACCTAACTTTTTATATTTTTCAGAATTCGTCACTATCCTCACATCAAAGAAATAGAGAAAGACTGCAAGAATATGGTCCAAAATTTTGTACAAGAACTGCTTGGTTATATAAAAAATAACAAATGATAAACGCGGCTATTCTTATTGGAATAATGTCTTCAAACTTCTTTTATGTACAACGTAGATATATATTTATAATAGCACAGCTTTACTTCTCAAAAATTATAAACCTAAGCATTTAGAAACGTTTCGGTACTCTCTAGAGAATAGTAATAAACTTGAAAACCTTTTAGAGGAACGTTTTTCTAATTTAAAACAAAAAGAAACAAGCAAAAATATTTTTAATAGAAACAATGACCATATTTCTATTCCCATTGATAATTTATAACAAAATAAGTTTAACAAAATAACTGTCAGTTGGAACTGATAAAACTCGAAATGTAAGAGCCTGACCTGGTAGATAATTTGATCTTGCAAGCCTAGTTATTTTTTATAAACACAACTTACGTTGTTAATATTATTTTTACATTTTAATCGGGCAGTATCCTTCTTCAAATTGTGTTAATGTCTAAAAAAAGCATTATTTTAATATTGCAATCTCAACTGACAGATGGAACTGTCATTCTTAATAATTGATCATAGCCTGCTTACCTCTTTATCATTGACAACTACTGTCAATTGGATCTACATTCCCCATTGTGTCTTCCCTATTTAACGTAGGATCCAGACCACGGTACCCAGATCTGACGACTAACCACCTGGGGGAGAAGGTGTCCCCCCAGTCGTCAAGTAGGAGACTGGGGGAGCTTTCACAGAACGTGCACACACAAGACAAACAAACGGACGACAAAACAGGGAAATGCCCTCAGCAAACCCTGTCTAAATACTGATAATATGTCATCCTTCACAGCCCTTTAAGAAGGAATGGCATACTAATCAAAGGACGGAAATTCGAGGCACAGACACACCCAGAACCTTCTGAAATATCGCAATTTCAGGATTTTTATAATAATTTTTGTAACCATTACCTTTAAACTAGGAGATTGTTCTTCGCTGTTGTCCTACATGATTATTACACCCTACAGTAGGCCTTATTTTGCCTGAAATTATACCAAAACCTTAAAACAAAATTGGGTCGACTGTTCTGTATGACCAGGATGTTTTTCAATTATTATTCCTTTGCATAAGACATCTCTTTGATGTTATTTGTGGACCTACTAAATTGTTTTACTAACTTACTACATATAATTAGATATTATGTAAAATATGACTGCAAACAAGGTTAGTAATTAAAAATAAATGTTTTTTTTAATAATTTTTCAATTTTGTCTTTCACTTCACTCTAAAATGTAAACTATAATAAGGCCTTCTACTGCAAATAAAAACATTGTGAAGCAAATTAAGAAATAATTGTAAAAATTAAAGCCTCAACAGGCAAATTAATGCCTAGCAATGCAAATTAAGGCATTTTATGGGATGAAGAGTGAAATTGAGGCATCTGGGAGCATCCTCAAGACTTCTTGAAGGAAATTAAGGCCACGTAAGACAAATTATGGCTTGAAAAAGATATAACCCATCGAGATAGAATGAAGTAGAGACGACACTATTTTGTGTGCCAATACTGACGGAACAGTGTTATCAAAATGTCGACTAAACGTTGTACCACGGCATAGAACAGAAGTAAAAGTTGGAAATGCTTTTGCCAGTTCTCCCACTTTATACCACTGATCTGTATTATTTTACTGGTTAGGATATAGTCTCCTAAAAAACGTTCCGAAAAATTGGCCGATTTGGGCAAATAATATGGCGGACCGGATGTTATTTAACATAACCTCAATTTCCATTTGTCATCACATTTGTCATTTAATTGTGTCAACAAATTACGATGAGATGTTTATTTTTATTTATTTAGGTAGTATCGGATAGCATTATTATGATATTAACAATAAACGTTTATTCATGAAGACAGAATATGCTTCACGTTTTCATTTTAATATTTTCTTTCATAAAAAAATCAAATAATGGATGAATTGTCACGAAGGACATTGCCCGCAGAAGGAATAGAAGAAGAATAAGAAGAAAAACTAATCAAATTATAGGTTAGGTATGTCAAATTATCCCAAAATTCAGTTCTGTGATCCCACCATAATTTGCCCAAATCGGCCAGCAGTGTTGCACTTCCGGTCTCCTTGGTGGAACGGATTTTTAGTATGTTAAATATAGCCTATATCCTATCCAGTAAAATAATACAGATCAGTGCTTTATACACATAAATTGAGAGGTTGCCAGCGGATCTCACCGAAGTGGACGCGATACATTGGCTTACAAAATTATTTTATAGATGTTAATAACAATTTCGAGTAAATAGTTTAATAAATTGTGAATAGCTGTTGAAATTTTGTAAAATTATAATTTGAATATTATAATACATGTTTAATAATTATTTATAATCCATAAATACATGCGATTGTCCGGTTCCGCCGATAACAATTTAAAATTACTTATTCTATGAAACGACACTGGCAGGTAAACATTACTGTGAAATTCTCGGAGCCACCCAATGTATGCACAATTATATAGATTCCTCATCCACCTATAAAAAAGATTACGAAAAGCGTATTAGGCATTCCAACGACCTGTCCAAATGGCTACCAGTGGGTAATGACAGTTTAGATATGGCAACCCTGTTGTCATGTTGTCATTAACAGGGTCAATGATACATATATAGTTATATAGATTGCTCAAAGCTGGTCGTTTACGAGCGGCCATATTTTCTGGTAAATATTTATTAATTTGAATCGGTTTAGCAAAAATGTGTTTTAAAACCAATTTTTTGCCTTTAGGTAATTAAAAAAAATAATTGCTTATATTTTTACTTTAAGGCATAAGCTTATGTTTATTTTGAAAAATATGGATGATCAATCTATGTAACTATCTATTTCATTGATCTTGTCAAATCACCAGGCCTACAGGGTTGCCATAATTTTGCCATATCATACCCCGTCAAAACCCACTGGTAGCCATTCAGTTTGGAATGCCTAATTGATGTATTATTCCCTTTCCTAGTGCCGTTCTAGCCCAAATGTGTTTTAAAATAAAATTTAGCCTTTTAATATTTAAAAGAAAAAAATAATTAAAGTTTTACTTCAAGACACAAGAGATCTAAACAATTTTTATAACAGATTAATGTAAATAATTTTAGACCATTCTAATTTCAGAAATAACACTATATGAAACACATCATTTCAATATATGTAATACAACTTTTAAATTTAATGTAAACAACTTTGATATGATATAATAAATACTTTTGTTAAGAGTTGTAATTGGACATTTATCTATTATTCTAAGTAATGTTAATGTAATGGTAATGTTACTAAAAAAATTTACAAAAAATCAGTGGATTTTTAATATTTTAAAGTTTGTTGCAATCTCTTTTGACAGTAATTAAAATGTATTAATTATGATTTGTTTATTTTAGTGATAATTGAAAAATAGTTAATAAATTGTATAGAGGGCCATGATATTTTTGTCAAATTGGACATTCTAATTTAACAGTAACATTCTTCATTAATTTTAATTAACAGAATAAACCATTAATTATCTGTAAAATTATATTTATATAAAATGTTTATTTAAATGTGTAAAAATCTTAATGACAAGAAAACACTAAAGACTCTAAATTTCTAAACCGGTTCTGTAAATGATTTGTTTACAATTAAGTGCTCAAAATTGATTATAGATAAAAAGAAAACTTTGCCCAATGAAATACGCTTTTCGTCGTCTGATTTACGTTATGGATAAGCAATATATGTAATTATGTATATCATTGGGTGTGAGACGCAAAGTGTGCTCTGTGGAAATTTAAAAAATTTCTTTACTATCGAATCAAATCCAGGTTTCCAAAGTGATGTGTTTGTACATCCACGAATGCAACAAGTTTTTTCGATAATGATATTACGAAAATAATTCGACTTTATTTAATTAATAATTACTAAACAATTAATGCCGTATAAAACATTAATAAATCCCCCCCATAAAGTTCACATTTTTGTCACCAGTTGGTGTTAAAGTCATGACGCACGGTCCCTATAATAAATAATCGGCAGGCTAACTGTGAGGCTAACTTGTCTTGGCGGCAACAGCCAATTTTCAAGCTAAAATAGCATTACATCTTTCTATATTACCGACTGAGTATTAATTGCACAAAACTATTCCATATGTCGCTGAAGGTAAACATGCTGCCAAATTTCTGTGAGGAATCTGCAACTCTTAATTATCTTTCCTCCATGATGGTAACTGTGTAAATCCTACATCGGTCCAATTTCAAAGGACCTTCAAAAAATTGCAATGTTTAAATTTATTACATTCTGGAACTGAAAACTGCGAAACAGGTGGGGATGCTTTACTTGTAAGGCTGCATGAAATTCGTAGGACTAGTAAGGATGAGCCTTAACAAAAATTGAAATAATTTTTCATCACAATTTTGAATTATTTATCACTAAATCCGGCGTTTGTAATTTTTTTTAGATTTAATTAATTCCGAGATAACATTTGACGCTCCTTGTCCCCGATTTCCATAAATATGTTATTAAGGGTCGATTCCACCGTTGTGTTAAACGGAGATTAAAATGACATTGTTAATGTAAAAATGTAATTTTAAACTTCGTTTAACACAATGGTGGAATCGGTCCTAAGTTATATTTAAGGCTGCTCATATATTTCTCTTTAAAAATATTAATAGAAATTTTAAGACCATCAATAAAAACAAGCTAATTATTTGGCGCAATCTGTGAAGCTTTTTTATTTTAATACGATCCTGCCTATCAATACCTTATTGTATTACAAAATCATTAAATACGCTTTAATCTGACCCTGACTAAGACCCCCGAATGGCGTCGTCAAGGTCAAATTTTCTTAGTATAATATTTGTATGCGATCAGCGGAGAGTGAGCCTGCCGATTGTTTTTTATGCCGTGGTTGTACTTTAATTTATTTGAAGTCAGCAATTTTATATTTAAAGATTGAAATGAAATAAAAATGTTTGTTTATCGTTTAAATGAAGTTATTTTAAAAAAATGGCATTTATTTTTATCAAAACTGTCTAGCTGTAGTTTGACACATGACGTAAAAGTGTAATGCAAAAGTACGGACACAATGGATATGACGAAGACCTAAGCTGTCTTATAAATATGAAGACTCATAGGTATAGAACATTTTGAATCTAGGAATTTGGATACAAATTAGCTACCAGGTCATTAAAAATTGAATTTTATTAGGTTTTAAAAGTACTATCAAAGAAACTAGACTTCTAAATGCTGAGATTTGGTCTACTACAAAGCTATACATTCTTAACTTCAATTTTAGTATGTAAGATATATCATACAGGGTGAGTGCGAAAAATAATTCAGACGAATATTTTTTAGAATGGGGCTTGATACTATTAAACTTTGCTAAATGAAGAATGAATGATTATAATATTTTATGATTAGGTAAATTTATATATATATTTTTTTTGAAATTATGTTGGTACACACATAAAAATGATTTCTTCATTAATTTCAATAAATTTTGTCCAAATACAGAATACAGGGTCAAATTTACAAAATATTTTGTTTAGGTAAAAATCGGATTTACTTTTATGTGTTAAACATTCTTTAATTAAAAATTAAAATTTTAGACTCGATCTGAAATCAATAACCATCATATAGGTACATTTAATTCTTTTAAAAGGTTTGAAATGCATTGCATTTCAAAGTTTGTTTATTTTATTATTTTTCTTGCAGATTCTTCCATTACTGAAAAAAAAAAACGATTGAACAAAACAACATTTTTAATAAATTTTTAACAAAATTTAGGTAATATTTTTTTTACAATTAAAATCTTATTTATATGGAGTGATCCACAAAAATATTTCTAAAGTAGGCCTTGAAAAAATTCACGTATGTTGGAGTAGACCTACAATTATTTTTTTAGTTTATTAATTTTTTGTGAATAGCTCTATATTAACAAAAATTAAGAAATTCTTGAAAATTAATATTTCAATCGTTTTTTTTTACCCATAATAAAAAAATTAAGATACTGGATATGAAAATGAGAATTACATTTTTATATGTACGTATATTTAATATGTCATAATGACAGATAGATAGAAATGAACGAATTATTTTTTTATTGTTTGTATAGATAGAAATCTAGTCCTGTTACAATTCTACAATTTTTTAATAAATCTGCAAGTATGTTATATAGTTATATTTAAAAAAACACTACGCTTCTTATATTTTAAGCAAATAATTGATCAATATGTCTAATTGCAGCAGGGATGGAGTCGCTTTAAATCTTCCCCTTCACTATTTTATGACGTCACCCACCAAGCCATAATTATTACTATTTATTATTTTCTAATTTATTAAATAAAAAGCATTACCTGACCGAGCATCGAACTCACGACACATCGGTTAACTTTCAATGCCTTAGCCAATATAACACGGAGATATTTAACAATTTGTTACTAGATATGATTCTAATAGCTGTACAAGATGTACAAAGCTGGTTCTAAAATAGGTATAGGTAATTCAATGTCAAAGAGTGAGAGAGCTAGATCGAAAGATTCCTTGCAAAGATAACGGCAAGACATACGTTACAATATGCAGGGAGATATACGTTTAAACGTGATATTTATCGGAAAAACATGTGCATTGCCAAAAGGAAATCATTTTAGGAAACAAACAACTTAAGGGGGAAAGAGTTCTAATAGTTACGTTAAAGGTGGACTTATCATCTAGATACTGTCAACGCCTAGAGAAGTCGTCTACTATAATTTTTCTACCATTTGCTTGGTATAATGGAGGTGTATGACTTCATGAAAAAGTGAAGGTGGTGGTCTATAGCGATACCATTCCTGATTCTTAAAAATATACTGTTTTTTAGTTTATGAAATAATCCGCAAGACGTAGAGGTCTATCAAGAATTAATGTGCCAGGGTAGTCGTCCCAATAAAACAGGGTGCGACAGAAACTAAAATTTTAAATTTTATGAGGGAACACGAGAAGTGGCAGACTGTCCGTTTCCAATGACAAACAAGAATTTAAAAGGCTATGGATAGAGCTTTTCAAAAAACTAAATTCGCTTGGATACGGATTGAAAATAGTGAAAAAATGGCAAAAACTGAGTGTTATTTGCAAGTTTTATAAAATTCACATATTTTTTAGGAAATGAGAAATACAATACACCTACACAATAATTATTTTGTTTTAGACTTGGTAAGAATATAATGGTTTTTTAAAAAAGAAAGCACCTGAAATACAAAGGCAACAAGCTGGTACTAGAGGTGGCATCCCAGTTGATAAAAAATTGTCTGATATTAAGGAGGGATTATTAGAAATTCTGAGAAGTAAATTCCATAAAGGATATGGACTAGCTGAGAAATGAGTGTGTAATTAGTTCATTATAGACGGCAGAATATATCCAAAATTCATCTACAGGGTGTCAATTTGAAAACTTTCAGTGCGAATATCTCGCAAAATAAAAAAGTTGGAAAAACGCCGTTTGGCAGAAATGTTATAGAGTTAGGGGGAACTAGAACCACCATTTTTAAGTGAGCGGGTGAGTCACCCCTTAGACGCGACACATCCCAACTTTAAAATATCAAATGGCACCACTACCCCTTTTGTGATACCTCAAATAAAAAGATCTCATTTAGTAGTATTCACCTGTACAAGAATTTTTTTCCATTCAATACAAGGGGGTAACAAAAACAAAAAATTCGAATAAAAAAATTGAATGATATTTTATTTGATTAGATGTTCAAAATGCATTCCATTTTGTGCTAAACAATAGTATAATCAATTTTCAAATTCTGTTCTAACATTGTGGAACACTTCTTTTGGAATATTGCTGCATTCCGTAATAATTCGTTGCCGAAGATCTTCTATTGAATCCGGTTTTGTTTTAAATACGATGGATTTCAAATGTCGCCAGAGAAAAAAGTCAAGAGGTGTTAGATCGGGAGATCTCGCCGGCCATTCGATTGGACCTCTCCATTCTATCCATTGACCTGGAAAAGCGTCATTCAAAAATTGCCTGACTGGAAGAACCTAGTGGGGTGGTGTTCCGTCTTGCTGAAAATGTATTAAATTTTCATTCAGATTCTTGTTTTCGTCAATGTCCAGCTGATTTTCAATTTCTTCAACAATAAGTATTGCCATTAATAAATAATCGCCCAATCACATTGTCGCATAAAATTCCCGCCCAGACATTTATTTTTTCTGGATACTGCGAGTGCTCTTCCCTGAAGAAATGCATATT